TCAATAGGGGTACTGATTGCCTTCATTCCAAGCTTCCCTGTCTCTTGAAGAAGATCCAAGACACTTCCTTTGAGAGATAAAAATTCCATGTTTTGATCTTGCAACTTCAATGCCTAGGAAGCATCTCAGTTCTCCAAGATCCTTAATTTCAAATTCTTTATGTAGATTCCTTTTCAAATAATCAATCTCACTTAGGTCATTCCCCGTGACAACAATATCATCCACATAAACAATTAGGACTGACACCAAAGATCCCCTTCTCTTTACAAACAAGGTATGATCGGATTGAGTCTGTGTATCCAAAAGCAATTAAGGCCTTTCTGAATCTGTCAAACCATGCTCTGGGAGATTGTTTCAAGCCATAAAGTGACTTCTTAAGCTTGCATACCTTTCCCTTTTCAGTATCACTGTAAAAGCCAACAGGAAGATTCATATACACTTCCTCTTGCAGATCCCCATTTAGGAAAGCATTCTTCACATCAAGTTGAAACGAGAGGGCCAAGAGTATGAGGCAACAAGAGAAAGAAGTATCCGAACAGAGGTCATCTTTGCAACCGGTGCAAAGGTCTCTAAGTAATCAACACCATAGGTCTGTGTGTATCCTTTTGCAACAAGTCTTGCCTTGTACCTTTCTATACTTCCATCTACCTTATGTTTTACCGTGTAAACCCATCTGCATCCAACAATGTCCCATGTCTGATTCTTAATCAAAGCTGCCATCTCTTCCTGCATAGCTGCCTTCCACTCAGGTTTGGAGAGAGCCTCACTAACACCCTTGGGTATAGACACTGAGTCAAGGGAGGAAAGAAAAACACGGTAGGAAGGAGAAAGTCCACTGTAGGATAAGCACTGTGAAATACAATGAGCAATACACTTTCTCTTCCCTTTTCTGAGAGCAATAGAAAGATCAAGGTTATCTGTAACAGGGTTAGTAGAATCAATGGGAACTAAAACAGTAGCGGGACCAAGAGGAATGCCTGAATCCATGTCAACCGGATCTGGAATCTCCAAGGAATCGACAGGAAGTGATGTGAGTTCTACTGCAGTGGAATCAACCTCCTTGTGAAGTCTTTGTCGTAAGTAATGCTGAGAAGTAGGACGCAAAGGTGGTGGTAAGGTAGGTGACACAGGATGGTCAAGCACAGGAGTAGACACAGGGACTGGAACTGGGAGAGGAATAGACTGCTGACTTACTTCCCCAAAACACTCCCCCTGAGAAGGATTCTTTGAAAAGAAGTATGTGGATTCAAAAAAGGTGACATCCATGGTAACATACCGGCTCCTAGAGACTGGATTATTACAGCAGTACCCTTTTTTATTTTCTGCATATCCAAGGAAGACACACTTCTTTGCCTTGGGATCAAGCTTTGAGCGGTGAGGACCAAGGACATGTGCAAAGTAGACACACCCAAACACCCTGAGAGGAATATGAAACATCTCCCCCTCAGGAAAAAGGAGACTGAATGGGGTGTTGAATCCAAGTATACAAGAGGGCACCCTGTTAATCAGATATACTGCTTTGAGAACTACATCACTCCAAAACCGATCTGGAACTATAGATGTGCTCATCATGCTTCTTGCAATCTCAATAATGTGTCTATTCTTCCTTTTTGCAACACCATTCTGCTGTGGACTGTAGGGACAACTGCTCTAATGGACAACACCATATTCTAATAGTATGAAGCAAGGTGCTTTTCAAAATATTCCCTGGCATTGTCTGATCTGAACACCTTTATTCTTGTTCCAAACTGTGTTAGCACCATCTGATGAAATTGCCTCACCAAGGATGGTACTTCATCGCGGGATCTAATCAGGTAAACCTAAGAGTATCGTGAGAAATCATCCACAAATAAGAGAAAATATCGATAGCCTCCCATAGAAGGAATATGGTAAGGTCCCCACACATCCGAATGAATAACATTAAAAGAAGAACACCTTTTATTACTAGGTTTAAATGAATGTCTACAATGCTTTCCAAGTTGACAACCTTCACACTCCAGACTTGACAAACTAACAGACTCAAAAAGTTTTGGAAACAAAAGACTTAAAGAAGAAAAAGGTAAATGGCCCAAACGATTATGCCAAAGCATAATTTGACCCATAGACTCTGACTCACTATCCCTGCTGACATGATGACTCTGATGAGGAGGAAGAACATCCAAGATGTAGATACCATTCACTTCACGACCACTCCCAATCGTCCTCTTTGAATCCAGATCCTGCAAAATACAATGACCAGGAGAAAAAAATATTGAACAGTTCAGGTTCTTATCAAACTACTAACAGATAACAAATTAGTGCTCAATCTAGGAACATGAAGGACTGAGGGTAGAGAAATAGAATCACTAATCTTGACAGATCCCTTCCCAGCAATAGGAACATGGGATCCATCAGCTGTGTTGACCCTATCTCTACCGGAACAGAGCTGGTAAGAAGAAAAAATAGTAGAGCTATGGGTCATGTGCTCTGAGGCTCCAGAATCTATAATCCAAGGAGGTCCCTCCTTACCTTAAGTAGAAACATAATTTGTAGTGACGTGTGAACTACCTGTGTGAGCAAAGGCAATAGAGTGGACTCCACCAGTGCCACCTGTACCTTGTTGTCCGCTTGTTGCTGAACTGGAACTGGCTGTATCCCGCTGGTTCAAAAGTTGCCTATACCTCTCAAGTTCAGCCCTTACTGCAGTAGCTACAACAGACTCTAGAGCAACTGTAGTAGGAGGCACTGGAATCTCACCAGTAACTTCCATGTGTGCATTTCCCTTCTTATTTTTTAGTCTAGTCGGCACAAGATGTGGGTGAAGCTTTCAGCAAGTATCTCTTGTGTGTTTAGGCTTCTTACAGTAGTCACAAATCAAATCTCTTTTATCTTCCTTCTTGATTTCACTACCACCCCGATTTCCACTTTGTTTAGGTTTCATAGTACTCACCATGGCAGACTGATCAGAAACAGGATTTTTCATCATCACATCTCTCTTGCTCTCCTCCCCTGACACAAAGGCATATATGCTTGGGAGAGGGTAACATTGTCCCTGGAAAGAAGATGCTGTCTTGCAATATCATACTCAAGATTAAGGCCAGCAAGAAATTCAAACACCCTATACTTCTCTAGATGTTTCTAATAGGTAGCTGCATCCTTAGTGGTTTCCCAAGCAAATGTCTCTAAATGGTGAATCTCCTACCATAGGGTTCTAAGGTCTGAAAAATAGGCTACAATAGGTCTATCTCCCTGCCTTGTAGAAATAATCTGATTTCTCAACTGATAAGCCCTAGCAACATTCTCCCTCTGTGAATAGGTTTCTACAACCCCATCCCATATTTCCTTAGCTGTATTTGCTCATAAAAAACTTTTTTACCTATATGGGGCAACATGGAATTACACAACCAAGTCATCACCATATAATTCTCCTGTACCCATCGGGAGTTGCTAGTTTCGGGTTTCACTTCCTCACCAGTGATATACCCTAATTTCCCATGAGCACCAATGGCCATCTTTGCAGATTGTGACCATTCTAAGTAATTTGCACCATCCAACCTAACTGAAGTAATGGTCCCAGTCCCGAAAAGGTCTCCAACACCTCCTCCCACTAGTCCCATTTCACTCCAGGGCTTATTTTCAACTTCGTGGCCCTCCATGTTTCTCAAAAAATGTAAAGAAAATAACTGAAATATGTACCAAGATCAATCGAAACACTTCTAGAACCAACAACACTTTTCTGGTGTCCTAGACTGTCTTCCCACAAAAGATTCATTTTCTGTGGGACGGGAGAAGAGAGAGAAGAGGCAGCCGCTCTCTCTAGAAGCCTCCAAATCAGGCAGGACTTGAACCGCCCCTTACAGAAAACTCCAAGGAACCCTAAAAAATTAGGGCACCACTTCCTAGGTCAAAATTGAAGAGTCCAACAGAAACAAGACTCTTCTCCTTTCTCCAGTTTTTCTTGATTTTGATGAGAAACCCTAGAACAGCTACAGGGCACACAGATCCACCAAAAAATCCAAAAACTGGGCTTACCTGAGAGCTTCGATCAGCCTCTTAAATCACCATGCAGTCGGCTGATCTAGGGCTGCATGAGGAAACAACTCAAGGAACCTTCGGCCTGCTCTGATACCAAGTAGAAATCACTGATTGTAGATTTAGTTGAATTTCTTGTGAAAGGAAAAGGGGAGAAAGATAAAGATTTCAGTAGTAGAGAAGAAAAGAGTGGGAGAAAAGAGTAGGAAGTCAACCAGGATGCTTGAATTAACCCTAGCTGCCAACCCCTCATTATATTTTTACTTAACTCAAAGGATGAGATATTACAAGGATGCCCTTAGTAGGGCGGCTACTAATGTAGCTGAACAGTCATAACTTAAAAACATAAACTAATGAGCCTAAAGCCCAACACTTCCTAACTAAATAGCTTAAAATAAGAATAAAAACAACTAGGTCCAACTCAACACTGTTAGGGGGAAGAATTTACAAGAGAATGTTCATGGAGATAGGAGAGAGAGACAAGCAAAGATAAGGGTTTATATATGTTGAGGTTGAAATTGGAGGTCATACAGCAGAAGGGACTGAGAAGCAAAGGAACAAGACGTTGTAGACTTGTAGTCAGCAAACTAGTAGATGAAGCTTTTTAAGTAAGAAAGAAGATGGATTTTAAGATGGTGGTTGACAAAGAAGTTGAAGATGGATGTTCTTTTGGAGTGAGGAAGAATTTGCAAAAGAAGTGAAGTGCACAAAGGGGAAAAATGGATCAATTCAAAGTGGGCAGTTCTTAATGCACAGAAGGGAGAGAAAATAGGGTTATTGGAGCTAATGAGGACAGTGGGTCTGTTGGTTAGACAAAATATTCAGAAGTTCTCAAGTATTTGTAGTCTGTCTTTTGTTGAAACATGGTTTTAGTTATAGCCATTGTTATCATTATTGACCTGAAACAATTCATTTTCTTTATCATTGCAAAACCCTTTCCATGTGATTTACATGCTAGATATGATTTTTTTCCTGGTTTATTTTTTCAGGAAATGAAACCAAATTGGGTATGAGTAGAGGTATACCTGAGCCAAAACTTACAGCAGTGGATGCAATGATTGACAAATTGACTGGAGCAATATTTTTGTTTCAAATAGTGGTTGTTTTTGTACTAGGCATAGCTGGTAATGTCTGGAAGAATACTGAAGCACGAAAGGTGAGCAGCAGTATTGTGTTCTTTTTATTTAGTACTTTGCAAGGTGTTTTTTTGGAGTTGTGTTTTCTACATATATCATATATGCATAGCTCATCCTTATTTGTGAGGAAAAAGCAACAGAAAGCATTCCATTATAGCATTCTTGTTTATTTTAACCTTTTTATTTGTGTTTGTGGTGAGGCACTGTAATGGTGTTGATATTGGGTTAAGGGGGAAGAAGAAAAACAACTGAGGAAGGACCCCTCCATCACATTGTCCCACACTTTGTTTTTTGTAATAAATGAACAAGGATGAAACTATAAAATGCAACAAAACTTCTCTAAACAGAGATCTAATAGAAAAATGAAATGACTCACCAGCAATCATTGCAACAACATGAGGAGCACAGGAACAACTCTATAACAGTTGGCTACGCAAAATAATTAAATAATTTCAATTGCGCAAAACCAGAAAACAGCATAATAGAATAAGATGAACTATTGCTGATAAAAAAAAGATGAATTATAGCATGAACAGAATTTGGACCTTTTATAGCATCCTTAAATCCTTAAATCCTGTAAAACATTAATATTAGCTAGAAAAACTTATCCTGGTTATTCTCTATTGCTGATAAGACAAAAAAAGAAAAAGAAAACTTTATTCCTGGTGGTTGGGAACTACTAAAAGACATCGTATTCTACCAATTGTACTTCCCAAGAATATTCTTAGTTTGAAAAAAAACAAAGGAATAAAAAGACAAAACTGACCTTATTTTCCCATAATCAAAAGACTAACTATGACCAACTACTGACCCAATTGACATGAAACTTGAGCCCTAAGCTCCTTATGGTGGAGTGATCCAAGATGTGGGGTCCATTATGAAACATTTGACTGGACTTTGGCAAGCTGTTGACAGTCTTAGTAAGTGCTCACTTAAGTTGTCACATGATCCATAGAATATATTTGAATTCAAAGGCTCAATGGTGTGGTGCCCAAATTGAGCTGGCCCACTCTTGCATCCATCATGTGATTTCTTAAAGCTTCCCTTCCCGGTTCAACAGACTCTTGCTCATTAATAATAGACTGGGTCAGCTCCACATCCAAACCAGGATTCAAAAACTTCTCCCCATCTGCCTTTCAATCCTTTGCTGAAGTCTGAGGAAGAGAACTGCTGCATGCTACCTCTGCAACCCTTCCTAGGTAAGGCTCCTTGTTTCACTCTTTTTTGGCGCCTTGTCTTCTCCTTTAATTGAAACTCTTCAGAAAATTTGAAATGATCCAATCCTGTACGTAGCCAATTGTCTTCAACCCCTAAGTCTTCCTCTCTTCTGGCTTCTGTCCAAAGAACTATGTAGCACTGGTAGTTTTTTTGGTAATAAATAAAAAAGAAAATTTATTAATCCAAAAAAGATTACACCCAAAGTCGGTGATGAGGGATCACCCTGGGACAAGAAAAAGTACACCAAGATCAAGATCTAAAACAAACCAAAAGTTACAATCAAAATATTCATCTGTGATTCCCTCAAGTTCTGGTAGAAGCAAAACCCACTCCTTGAACCTCTTTCCACATAAGAAGAAAACTTGGATCTCTTTGTTTTGACTGGTCATTGGAAATTCTTCTGTTTCTTTCCTTCCAAATCTCCCAACAAATAGTGAAAGGTATGTAACACCAATCTATCTTTTCCTTTCTACTTCCCCTCACACAGGCCATCTACCAACAAAAATTTCTTGGGGCGACGTTGGTCTCCATAAGTCAAGGTTGAATAGGCTGAAGTAATACCTCCAGACATTTTGAATAATGGAAATCAATAAACAAATGCTACAGAAACAGGATTTCCCGCCCACTGAATTCCTTTTCCTTTAATATGCTCTCGAGTAAGAATGCTGTCTAAGGTCAGCAACCACATGAATGCTTCCAATCTAGAAGGAACAGGATTTCCCCAAATCCCAATGACATCAGATTTTCTGTCTGGTTTCTCGCTGAAGCATAGGTAGTTTTCACTGGAGATATGTTGATTCCAGTAATATTTCATGCTGGTGCCGATGGAAATGTAAATGTTTTGTGTAAATATTAAGATATATATATGGATATTTTAAAATAAGTTGTCCCTCCCCTCTGTTTCTATTTGATGATTATTCATCCATTATCTGTACCTCATCATTCTCTGTTAGCTTTTCACTTGTAGTTTCTTTGTCATAAGAAGATGGAAGCACCTTGCTGCACCTCTCTGTATCACTGTTGTTTACTTGGCATATTTGCTTCTCTAGAAGAGAATGACCTTGTTACATGGATTTTAGATGCAGTTGAACTGGCTAGACCTCCCAACATGCCAGCCTGCAACCCTCAAGACAACATGATATCTTTAAAAGTCCTTGCTAGTGGGACTAAAGCTACCAAAGGGACCATTTGATAACAGTTGGTTTGCTGAGATCAATTGCTTATTGGCCCTTTTTTTTGGTGAATAAGCAATTAACTAGGGCATGCAATCCCTTCTAATAGCATGTTGGCTTAACTACTTTACCCTAAATATTTCTCTATATGATTATTTTACCCACTAAAATACAAACTAATATGCAATTCAGTTCATCCATCAGAAGTTATTAACAACCTCTAAGGCCAGTTCATCCCCTAAAACCCTGGGTTAAGTCCATTCATTTGTCCAGGTGAGGGTCTGATTTGTAAATCACTCTCTTAGGGTGAACCAAACATTGTTTTGTTTCTATGAATATCATGAGTTCCACCACCTTAGAAACAAAATTAAAACTGAATTTAATTTGAAAATCACTGAGTTCCACCACCTTAGAACTTGAAGGGAGTTAACTTCTGGATTTTATAGTTCCTTAGATGAGAATATCAGAAAAGTGCACCATCAATCTCACAAGATACAGACATATGTTGCCTTCAACCTTCTCAACATTTCTGTTTTTGCTATATCACAAGCCTAGTTGATGGATTGGGTTGCAGTCTGTGAAATCTTTCCTCTGACTGAGACACCCCATTAGAACAAGCACCAGAGCTTTGAGAGGAGGTAGAAAATGATTATTGAAGGAGAGTCAAAGTTGGTGATAAGCTGGCTGCAAAAGGAGGATGTGGGTTGGTGGAATTATGTAAATGAAAAAAGGAAATTCAAGTGGATGACAGTTGGTATGGAAATTAGATTCCAATGGATGAAAAGAGATGCCACATTTTTTGATGATGCATTGGTCAAACAAGGGGTGGGAAGAGATCATTTGTTTTGGGCTTTGTTGTAATTTTTCTTTTTACAAGAACTAAGAGAGGGGGTAGAAACTGCCAAGTGAATCGGGTCTAGAGGAAAGGGAGCTTTTCCTTTCACAACCACTTGAACCATAAATATATGTTCCTTTATGGTCAAGTCCAATAGTCTGGGAATACCCACAGGCCACAACCCCAAATTAGTTTTCTCAGTTAGTATTGAATTCAATGTGGTCAACTATTCATCTTTGCAATAGCTTTTGGAACTTAATTATTTTGTCTCATGTCTGCTGAAATGGTATTAAAATTCTGAAAATAAGCTTCTTTCTGCCTTCTTAGTATCCTATCTATTTCACAATAATACTGTATTGAAGATTGCCCAATTAAATGTCTTGCACCGGATGTGCAAAGCTTGTTTACTTCCTCTCCTTCTAGCTGGTCAACTAAAAGAAGAAAGATTATGTGGGGATGTGTTAGGGCCGCAGTGTGTTGGTCTATTTGGGAAGAAAGAAACTTGAGAATCTTCTCAGAAAAGGAAAGAAGTGTGGAAGCAGTGATAGAAATGATTCATGCAAGGGTAGTTCATTGGCTGAAAACATTGGACTTCTTTATGGACTTCTCAGTTGATGATTTGCCTAAGAATTGGAAGGAAATTGCAGATTCAGCCCCAGCCAAGAAGGTCTCAAGTTCTGTTTGGACCCCTCCACCTATTGGCTTTACCAAGCTAAACTTTGATGGCAGCAGCATGGGCAATCCTGGGCCCTCCGGAATAGGGGGAGTCTTGAGGGACGAAAGAGGGATTGTGATGGCTATGTTTTCTGACCCAATTGGAATAGGGGACTCATTGAGGTTTGAGATTTTAGCAGCTCTGGAAGGGATTCAAAGGGCTAAGGACTTGAACATAAATAAGCTGATCTTAGAAGGAGACTCTGAAACTGTAGTGAATTGGTTAAAAGGAGAAAACTCATGACTTTGGAGCTACAGCAATGAAAAGAGGAAATACAACTGGCTGACAAAAGATATGGAAGTTCGATGCACTTGGATAAAGAGAAGTGCAAACTCCTTTGCAGATGGATTAGCTAGACAAGGGGTGAATAAGAGCTCTGTTTTTTGGGGCTCAACCGTAATTTTCTTTTCTTCTGTTTTTTGGATTTAGTGGCATTTGTAGGGAGTTAAGTTACTTTAGCTCCCGTTGAATGTTCTTTATCTCTTAATCAATTAATGAAATCTCTTTTATTTATCCAAAAATAAAATAAATATCTTGCACTAGCTATTTACTGCTGGAATGTGGTGATCACATTTTTTTTTTGATAGATGAATGTGTTGATCACATTTCTTTCTATTACTATAATCTTATGTGGTTATTGTATTTTAGTAATTATTTTTTATTATGATTTAAGTTCATACAGCTATGTTAAGTTTGTTCTTCATCATTAGTTATTGACACCTATCTTCTGTTTTACTGTAGCAATGGTATGTTCAATATCCAGATGAAGGTCCATGGTATGAACTATTGGTCATTCCTTTGCGGTTTGAGCTTCTATGTTCCATTATGATCCCTATATCAATAAAGGTAATTATGTGTTTTATATTATCTTTTGTTCTTTTTTCCACATGTTAGAATTGATGAGTTATTTATTTATTTGTCTTCTGAGTTCCAATAGTTATTTTGACAGACCAAATCTCTTAGCCATCTCTTTATGTCACCCCTCTTCACTTTTGTGAGGCTAGAAATGAACCTTTCTATCTGATTGACATAGTTGATCTCAAAAAAGTCATTTTTCTTTCATATATCCAATACTTATTTTAGTAGGCAATTGAACAAGGGTCCTGAAGACCGAGCTATCAGATCAAAGAGGTCTAATCTTGAAGTGCCAGAGGGGACAACATTTTTAGATGGGTTCTATATTGATGAATCTATGCTTCTGGTGCAAAAATTGGAATTCACCCCTTTCTTTCTTGCCTAACTAAATAGATAAATAAATAAATATTAGAAATCAGCTAGGAAAAAGATTCTGGAGAGAAGTTCTTGGTGAAATCCTCTATGTTTCTCTTGCTAGAAACTTGATTAGCACAACTGAAGCTGGATGGATTTGGGGAAGGTTTGTTCCTCCCAAGATAGAAAATCCTTTATGTGGCTTGTCTTCCTTGATAAGTTCTCAACTTTTACCACTTGAATTATAGGAGCCCTCTGTTTCTGAACAGAAGTGACATGTATACAAAAGTGAGGAAGAATCAATCAACTAATGTTCTCTTGTTTCCCCTTGAAATCCCTGATTTTAGATCTTGTTAACCACTGACTTGATCAAAGATATCATCTTGTCTTAGTCTTCTTTTTCACTTGGATCTAGAGGCGATTTGCTATGGTACTTACAGACTTGATCAAAGATATCATATAATACTCTTGTATTTTTGCACATCATTATATTAAAACTTTTGATTGTTCATAAGAATAGATGAAATATGGGATCTTCCACGTTGACAGCTGGCAGCCTAGTCAAGGGGAGTTGAGAGATGGGTTTATTGATGGGCTAGAGCTGCCATTGGTACTTAATGATATCTTACAAGATTTATATTAATACACAGTTTTGTTTGCTGATCAAGATCGTGCACACAAACAGATCACTGAAGACGAGAATAGTTAAATGATATGCTAATTGTTGATTTTTATGGATTTGGAGGGATTAAGTAATAATCATTTCATCCATCAATGGGAGGAAATACTTTTCTATTCTTCTGATGTTTAGCAAGTACATAATGGTCTGCTTCTTCATGGTTCTTATTGGTTAGCTATATATTTACTGTGCATATGACAACTCCACACCTTTCTTCTAGCCAAGCTGTATTGAGTAGAGACTAATCCAAGGCCAACATTATTAGAACTCCTAATCCCACTAGAACCTATATGAAGTGTTTCATTTGAAGATCAAGTTTGAAACTTTTTTTTGGTAATAAATAAAAAAGAATTTTATTAATAATGGAAAAAGGTACAACTGAGGGTGATGAGAGATCACTGTGAAGGATAGAAAGGTACAAGAAGATAGAAATACAATAACAAGAAAGGCTTTTAACTCTAGACCAACTCAAGTAGATTCCGAAAACCAGCACCAAGATCTTCTTTTGTAACCCCCCTCAAACTCTGGAAGAATGAGAACCCAATCCACGATCCTTTTCCCACAAAGAAGAGTGATATGGTCTCTTGAACGGGATTTGTTTTCAAAGATTCTCCTATTTCTTTCTTTTCATACTTCCCAGCAAACATAAAAAGGAATGCAACTCCAAGCAATATTTTCCTTGATATTTCCTTTCATAGCTGGCCACCTAGAGAGTAACTCTTCTGCCGAACTAGGCTCCATCCAACTAGCTTTAAAGAGCCCCAAAAAGAAACCCCAGATGAATTTAGAGTAGGGGGCAGCCAATAAATAAGTGAGACATTCTCCTCTGCATTCTCACATAAATAACACCTGCTATCCAAGTGAAACCCTCTACTCTGAATATGGTTTAAGGTCAAAATGCTATCCAATGTCACTAAGCCAAGCAAAAGCTTCCTCCATTGGAGGCAAGGTTTAAAATGTCGGTCATCCAAATATAAGAATCATGTCAGAAATATTGTAAAAATTATAGACATGGTGGAAACATTGTAAAATATGCAAAATAAAGAATGATATTTATGAAATGATAAAAGAAGCATGGGCACACCTTTTAAAATTATTATCTTGTTCCAAACCATTAAACAAAGTTAATAAACTAAGGTTATAGACAAAAGGATACGTTTTGAAGTTGCCATGTAAACCTTAAGATTCAGTGCTTCATGATAGAATGAGTTAAAAGCAAAATTTAAACTCATAGGAAATGGAATTTTTTTTTGAAGAATAAAGATAAAAATTTTATTAACAGCAGAACGAGAAACATCAGGGAGGTGATAAGATATCACCGTGAGAAGAAAAACAAGTCTCAAAAAACCATTGAGACCCCAAATCCACAAAGAATAGATGATGACAAGAACACCCAAACCAAAGAACAAACCCCACCAACCCCCAAGAAACATAACCCAACAGCCCATCAATAAAACAGAAAACAAAAAACCCTCCTTGGCACACTACGACTTCAAAGAACCTCTGTGGACATGTCCTCTCTGATTACAACTTCATCCCATATCTTGTCCTTTTTCGGACGATCATCTTTATTCAACTTCTCTTCCTTTCTTCTCCTTTCAAATTCCTCAAAAGCCTTCTGGCAAACTCCTCGCCACCCCAATAAAACAGACCTAGGCTCTTCCTAGTTGCAACCTGTCTGTCGACTATTTTTTGGAGGTCCCCTTCACCTGATTCCCCATCATTCCTGTTATTCTTTTGCATCGTCTGTCACCTCAGAATCGGAATCATTTCCATTTGAAGTGATTTCCAGATGCTCCTTCGGCTCCAGGGAGGCTGAAGACTGAGACTGTCTCAGTGTCCCCCTATGATCAATACCATGCGTCTCATTGTTTCTCAATCTTTTTCTCCTGTATACCCATTTGAAATGTTTTGTAGGGCCTGCTCCTGTCAGGCCCAATTTTAGCCCAGCGAATATCTTGGTCACATGCACAACATTATGATTTCTCGAACTGCACACTTTCTTTCTTGTTATTTCATTGGTTTGATCCCCCTCCTCTTCACGGTTGCTCTTTCTACCCAACTTTCCGATCTTCACCTCCTCATATTGTTGAACATCCTCTTTGTGGCGATCAATCTGGATTCTGGTCTCCTCATGAACACCTAAAAAGTCCTCACCTTCCATCTCCTCTTCGACCTCTACTCCAACTTTGTCCCTAGCATTCTGAATCTCCAACTCCATCCCCAATTCCCTGCTATCAGTAAAAAGCCTCATGTGGTCCCCTCTTATTTAAAACGTCAACCCGGCCTGGTTCAAAGAAATGGTTGTTTCTTCTCGCATTAGAACTCCCAGACTGGACATTCCCCTTTATGTTTTTGTGATTAATTGGGCCCATACTCGAGTCTGATGTGGACCCTCCATGGGATTCATCAACAACTGAATTACTACCCCTCTCCCTTTCTCAAGTATCAAAACCATTTGAAAATTTTTCACTATCAAGTATAGACCTTAAACAATCCTTAAGATGTGACCTTTCAGATACCAAAAATGCTTGCCCCTGCGACCTTTCCACCTCCCCCAACCTTCCTTCTCCATGTGTCACCCATCCCACCAAAAGCCCATCGTCTTCAACCTTCGAACTCTTCCTCCACAAAGACGTTTCAAATTTCATCAAACACCAGACTTCAACCATAAGCCGTCGGAAAAGAGATCAATGACTCGAGGAACATCACTCAGCTTCAACTCCGCAACTTGAACCTTCACCGCCTTCAGATCTGAAATATTGTGCTTCATAAGATTTCCTCCCAAAGTCTTGACTATTCTGTCAAGGGTCGTCCCAGAGATTAAATGGAAGTCCTAAAAAACTTATAATGAATCTCTCATGAACGAACTCCAGCTGATTGCAAGCTAAGTGCCAATGTTCAATCACTACCAGACCATCCGGGGTCTCCACCGATTCAACATTTGAGACTTTACACCACTCATCCCCGACTTCAAGGATAGCTTTTCGCTCCTCAAACGGAAAAACAGACACTGGACACTCGGGCACAAACTTTTCCGTGATGCTCTCAAGTATCCTTCCCCAATCTGTAACCTCTGTAGCTGCAAAAAGGACCAGCCTCTGTCTCCATTCTTCTGTTTCCTTGCTTAAAAACAATTTTTGTTTGCCATTTGAGCTGGCTAAAATCATCTTCGAGCACAAATTCACCGAGTCTTCTCCCGTTGAAACCTTTCTAGATTGGTGCGATTCAGTTGCATCTTTCATAACATCACAATAAACCTTTTTTATCTTCTGCAACTTTTCCTCTTGTCTTGTCAGCATCTCCTGTAAGCCATCATCAAAAACCTTCCAACCTCTTCTCTCCCTGCCCTCTGGAACTTAAATAAAAAATTTTCTGAGATCCCCAATGAACTCTGTAATAGCGATAAACCATCCTTTCACGTTTCTTCTCATCTCCACTTCATATGTCTTCCCCCATATATCAAAAGAGCTTTTCCAACCTTGTCTTTTATCCGAGTACACCGTTCCATCAACAAAACCTTTCAGCCAACCAATTGCTTCTTCTATTAGCAGAATAAAAGCTCTTTTTTCTTCCTGCATCTTCAATGCTGATGTTCCACTGATGTTTCCTGAAGAACGGACGTTTTTGCTTCGACCTCCAACTCTCTCCTCCACCTCATGAATGAAGAATCTGCTTCGTTGCGGGTATCATGTGATGTGTTGCTTGAAATAAATATTTAACTTCATGTTTGAAATAAATATTTAACCTTTCAGCCAACAAAATAACTAATATTTAACTTCATGTTTGAAATAAATATTGAGCTAGCTTAAAGTGGTAATCATGTAAGTTAAGGGGGACAATAACTTTGTTACTTCACATATCTAAATATTGTCACCAATTTATGTTATAATACTATCTCTTGGACTCCACAAAGTACTTTCACTGGGGAATATGTCAATTCTAGTAAATTTCATGTTGCTACCCATGGAAGTGGAAATGGAAATATGTTGTGGAAACTATAACTATCTCTTATACTCCACATAGTGTTGGTAGTGTTCATTGGGGAAATGTTGATTCCCGTAAAATTTTGTGTCGCTACCCATGGAAATATTAGGGAAATTAAGGACATTTTAAACCATGCTTGGAGGAACGGGATTTCCTCAAATCCTCATTAGCCTAGAACTTCCTCCATCATTCCTTGACAAGACCTCGATCAGAGGTCCAAGGTCATCTCCTTTGTGTGCTGCAAAACCAGAAGGTAGGTGTTGACACTATGTCAGCTCCGGCTGCTCAATGTCTTGTTGTCGTCGGTTTTCTTTAGTGATCCTTTCTCCATTAAGCACTACTGACTGCACCATGGTTTGTTGCATGTTTTATATTTTATAGGCATTCCAATAGTTTTGATATGGTATGTATATTTTTTTGGGCTCCATAGGATCTCTTCGGATTAATGGATGTGCTAAGGTCCCTTTTTTTGTTAAGAGCCTTTGATTTACCTTTTTCCTTACCTTTTTCTCTTTATCTTTTTTTAACCGAAACAGAAAATTTCATTAATTTTAAGAATAGAAATAGTGCAAACTGTACAACAATGCTAGGAAATCCCCTAATACTCTTTTTGATCTGTACCACTTTAATACTTCTCTTTCCTTCTAATGAAATGTCATTACCTATCAAGAAAAGAGTTAATAATAAATAAATTGTGATATGTTTATGTGGCAGGTATCTCTTGATCTTGTCAAGAGTTTATATGCAAAGTTTATCGACTGGGATGTGGAGATGTATGACCAAGAAACCAGCACCCCATCTCATGCAGCAAAGTATGAAAATCAAGTTGCAACTGATGGATTTGAGAATGTTATATTTTGTTGTCTTCTCTTGCATGTTCTTGTTGTCAGATGTGTTTCTTGTTCCTTGCAGCACTGCAATAAGTGAGGATCTTGGTCAAGTTGAGTACATATTGACTGATAAAACTGGGACACTTACCGAAAATAGGATGATCTTAAGAAGATGTTGTATTAATGGTATCTTCTATGGAAATGAGAGTGGGGATGCATTGAAAGGTCTGCCCTGATTTCTTGTATCAAATTCCTTGTTCTATTATTTATTAATTTGAGTGTTATATTTGCTATTTTTTGTTGTTACAAAAAACTTAAAAATTTTATCAAAAAATTGAAAAGGTAAGAAAATATAGAAAAAACATTATAAGATGTTTAGTAAAATTCTCTAGATAAAAAGATATAGCAGACTGGCATTTGTACAAAATGACAAATGTTTATACAAAATTATCCATATGTTTCATCAATAACGTTTATTATGGTCATAGAATGTAAAATAAGAGTTCAGGAGTCCTTTTCTTTTTCCTATTTCTTAAAAAGCCACCCGTTATATGAGTATTGCAAAAGGAGTGTCTTGCAAGATCTTCCCATTTGACATCAATATCTACGCCGATTATATATTTAATTCCTTATGCACCAAGGCTAAAACCACTATCAGTAATGGATGTCCTTACAAATTCTGTGTAGTAGTCTTGATTTGTTTAAAAAAAATGCTATTGTTTCTTTCCATATGGTTTAGAAAATTGCAACATCCATAACTTTGTACCTTTAGATTCAAAGGAAATGGAAGACCATAACTGTAAGAGTTCTTTTGGCTGCAAAATAATTGTAAGAATTGATGCACCAATTTTGAATCTCACCAACAATGTGGAATAAATACAAAGAGAAAGAAGGCCAATGTATTCTTTTTGAGACTTTGCACTGCACAAATAGATGATTTTCATTTTTTTTTTCAGAGAAAGTAACCAAAATTCATTAAAAAAGACAAAGTGTACATGAGAGGGTGTACAGTAGAAACAGACAACAGGAAAAAACAAGTAAAACAAAGAGGGACACTAAAGAGTTTACACAGGCACAGTTCTACCACTGATTAGACTTTCCCTTTAAGTCCCTGATTTAGCTAGACTACCAGTCTATCAGCTAAGAAGTTCAGTTCTCTGGGGATGATGTTCATTTTCTTTTCTTTTTTTTTATTTTAATTTTTTGATATGTATAGAACTATAGATGATGCTCATTTTCTTCCATTCTTATTGTGTAGCCTATGCTCACATCCCACTAACTAATTCCATTTTGTCACATAAGAATCTTAAAACACCACCAATGCATCTGTAAATACTGGTCACCTCGCCCCAAACCCCTAAAATCTTTTGTTCCCTGGTAAAGATATTTTTTACTTGTTGAATTACTTAAAGACATACACTGATTTTGTGTATTCATTCTTCTTGTATAGGCACTCCTTGTAATGAGTCTTACTTTTCTATACAATCAATGCAATATACTTTACCTTTTCTCAAAAATAAATAAATAAAATACAATACTGGTATATAACTATTTGATGTTATGCTTGTGGATTGCTTAGGTTTTGATTGTTAAAATATCATCCTTGTATGTTATCTTGAATACCAACTTGTTTGGCAAATAGTGAGTGGTTTTCCTCACTAAATTGTTATGATTCTACCATAGCACAATTGCCTTAAATAATAGGCATTGTCTCTTTTAGAAATTATTGAAGCTTCAAAGTAATCTTTTAATTTAACCTTTGTCTTTCTCACTTTCTTTAGTCTTTTCTCAAGTAGAAATACTTTTGCTCCATTTTGACATGTCCTGTGAAGTTTCCTATTTTGAGGCTAAATTTATACCCATATTGGGTTTCCCAGTGCCATCACCGATGACCTTGAAAAAACCGCATCTATTTTTTTTTTTTGATAAATGAATGGTAATTTATTCAGACATAATAAGATGATGATACAAAAACAGACTGCCTGAGGAGAGGCACAAGCTGGTACCTCTCCTTACCAACAACAAAGTATTGCATTGAGCTCAGAAAAAAAGATTACAGAGCTGCCCAGAATAGAAGTTCCCTTGATACCCCTTGCTTAGCTAACCCATCCGCTATGGCATTAGCTGTTCTACCCACCCATTGAGAATTGACAATCATGTTCCTTGAATACCACTTAACTTTTCTCATAATGTCCCTGTAGCACCAAATAACTGAATCTGGATTATTTAACCAACCCACAACAACTTTGGAATCTCCTTCAATAAGCAAATTCTGAACTCTTAACTGATCTGCAATCTGAATACCTCGTACCGCTGCTAGAAGCTTAGCTCTAATAGAGTCTCCTATACCCACGGAGCCAGAGAATAAAGCTAAGATATTGCTGTCTTTATTTCTCAGCACCCCTCCTATTCCTGAAGGGCCTGGATTTCCTTGACTGCTACCATCAAAATTCAGCTTAGTCCAGCCTTCAGGAGGAGGCACCCATACTGCTGGTACCCTGCTCTTCCTTGTACTACTACTAGCCACAACTCTCCAATTCCTCCATATGTCATCAAATGAGAATATTTTAAAGGATTCCAAGGATCTGAGCCAATGGATTGTCCTGTTCAAAATGCAGTCCTTTACATTCTGAATATTTCTCATTCTCTTGGAAAATCCTCGCATTTCTTTCTTCCCAAATTGTCCATAGAGTTGCAGCTCTAATGCATCTCCACATTGTTTTACCAATCTTTGTGGGCCACACAAAGGAGGGGTCAAAAAGCTGATCTACGGATGTAGCCAAGTTCCACCTGCACCCAAACAAGGCAAAGATCCAGCTCCAAATAGCAACAGAAAAGGAACATGTTAAAAGTAAGTGAGAGCAATCCTCACCATTAGCCCTGTAAAGTACACACCAGTTAGGAGACAAGCACATGGAAGACCTTCTCTTCTGTAGTAGGTCTGAAGTGTTGATTTTCCTATAGAACACCTCCCAGCAGAAAATTATTATTTTAGGAGGTACAGGTCTAGACCAAATTTCCTTAGTTGGAAAACCCAACTGTCCCAAGGAAGAAGAGCAAAGGGACTTAAAAATGGAGGCACACGTGAAGTAACCTTTTGGATTAGGGGACCAAATTCTTACATCAGATCTAAGAGGGTCCATACAGACACTTCCAAGTAGTGACAAGAGGTCTGAAACACAAGCAAGCTCATGATCCCTCAGGCCCCAACGAAACCCAAAGTCCCAATTCAGAGAGGATGGAGAAGCAGAGGTTTGAAGAAAGTGTGAGATTGCTTTATTCTTGTGACAAGATAGGGAATAAAGAGAAGGGAAACTGTCCTTAAGGGCAAAATTGCCCACCGAAATGTCTTCCCAAAGTAAAATAGAAGAACCAGAATTGACATCATACCTGATAAAGTTCAGGAAAAAAGGAAGGATACTCTGAATTGCTTTCCAAGGAGTTGCCAACGTGGCTCGACGCGATACACCAGCATCCCATCCATTTCTCGAACTGCCATGTATACTCTCTATCACCTCATGCCACAGTCTCTCTTGTTCTAAGGGCCACCTCCACAACCATTTACCTAAAAGAGCTTTATTCTTCAAAACTAAATTTCCTAAACCTAGCCCACCCTCCTATTTCCTCCTCCATACTATTCCCCAATTTATTAAATGATCCTTTTTATCCTCCCGTGGCTCCCAAAGAAAATTTCTCATTAATCTCTCCAACTTCTTCCCTAACGGGAATCCTAAACACAGAGAAGTAGTATACCGACAGGTTTGCTAAGGAAGCTTTCAGTAATGTTACTCTTCCCCCTAATGAAATATAGTTCTTTTTCCACGAGTCTAACCTTTTCTCAAACTTTTCTAGAACTGGGGCCCTAAAGTTGCTCTCCTTAGGGTTTGCTCCTAGCGGAAGACCTAAATACTATAAGGTCCAGGAGGAGATGGGACAACCTAAACACTCAGCCACAGACTCAATAGCCCTCTCATCCAAATTCACACCCACCACACAACTCTTATCCAAGTTTATTTTCAGATTTGAAACTCTCTCAAAGTGTTTTATTAGAGACTTAAGATTTCTGGCTGTTCCCCTCTCGCCCCCTTCACAAAAAACCTATTAGGTCATCAGCAAATTGTAAGTGGGTCACCTTGATTCCATTTCTTCCTATCTTCCAACCTCTCACTACTCCTTCCAAGTCTGCCTTAGAAATCAACCCGCTGAACACATCTGCAACTAGGGTGAAAAGGAAAGGGGAAAGGGGGTCACCTTGCCTTAATCCTCTAACAGCTGGGAAGAAATCCTTCACTACCCCATTAACCAATACCTAAAAATAGCAAGAACTTATGCAACCCTTTATCCAATTACACCATCTAGCTCCAAACCCACAACACCCTAGGACCTCTAATAAAAAACAACAGTCCACTAAATCATAGGCCTTTTCTAAATCCAACTTGCAAACAAAACCTTGATTTCCAGACTTTCTCATATCCTCCACACACTCATTAGCTATTAGGATTTGATCTGTTATTTGTCGTCCTTGCACGAATGCTCCTTGGGCTTGATTAATGAAGGAGGGTAGCACTACTTTAATCCTCAAAGATAACACTTTAACCAGGATTTTGTAAATGCTAGTCAGCAAGCTGATCGGCCTAAAATCTTTAGGATTTGTTGCTTCTTTCTTCTTAGGGATTAGAGCTATGAAAGTAGCATTGACTCCCGGGCTTACTTTGTTGTTGTCCTCAAATTTCTTAAACACAGCACAAAGATCTTCTCTTACCACATTCCAACAGTCTTGATAAAAAGCCATGGTGAATCCATCTGGCCCAGGAGCTTTGGATCTGTCCATAGAAAAAACTGCTTGCCTAATTTCCTCTTCTTCAAAGCTCCTCTCCAACCAGATTGCTTGCTCTTCAGACAATCTAGGCCAATCTAGTCCTTCCAACCTAGGTCTATCATTCAATGGCTTCCCTACAATTGATTTAAAGTGATCCACCAACACTTTGGCTATCTCATCTTGGTTTGTTACTTCCTCTCCATCCACTTCTAATTTGGTGACAGTTTTTTCTTCTCCTCCCATTAGCCAACGCATGGAAAAATTTTGTATTGCCATCCCCTTCTTTGATCCATTTATGCCTTGACTTTTGCCTCCAGGAAATCTCCTCCCTAAGAAGAACTTCTTCCAATTCCTTTTTTAAGCTTCTTCTCAAATTCCTTTCTTGCTCATTGATGATTCGTTGAGA